ACACCTCGTCTGCAGAGTGCTGGGTGTCTGCATCACTGGTGATGGGGTGCACGTGCCTTGGTTTGGGGGTGACGTGTCCACACCCCGTCTGCAGAGTGCTGGGTATCTCCATCACTGGTGATAAGGTTTCTGAACATAAGTCGTGAGAGATCCTACAGAGGACATCCGCTCTTCACTATTGCTGGGGACACCAAAACACCCATCACAAAGCAATAAAATGCCTCGTGTCCAGCACACCTAAGCTTCCTGGAGCAGCCTAAACGGCCAGAACGACACGGTGCCTCTGTGCCAGGTGGGCCACCCCCTCACCTCATCAAAGATCTCCAGGTAGAAGGAATCGACACCCGGGGGCACGGTGCACTGGATGACTTTATTCCAGCGAGGGTTCTTGGCGCCGTTGTGGGCCGTGGGTGTCTCGTACACCGCGTAGCCCAGGCGCAGTCGGCAGTACGGGTCCATGCGGGTCATGCCGTAATTCTTTGCCAACTTGGCCTGAAATAAAGCCAACGTGAGAAAAACAAGGCAGCCCCCACCAGACTGAAAGCTCAGCGCTCCCCTAAGTGGTCTGGCCCTTCACCTCATCATTTCCAGCGTTTTCTGGGTTTGAATTCAGCCAATCAAATCAGCCGGTACAGGATCACGGCTGTGCTCCTGGGCACCAGGACCAAGAATAGAGCCATGGCTTGCGTCGTGCATCCCTGTGGGATAACACTGGGCGCCGGGCCTGACAGGCGCGAGGATGCTTGCGGACACACTGAGAGGGCTGCTGGGCCGGCCACAGCGGCTCGTGCTCCAGCATCTTCTCAGAAGAGGCCACGGAGGAGGTGATGACGGCAGGCTGCCCTGAGACCGAGCCAAGGCCCCCTGGAGAGGCGGGGCCTGGAAGGAGGACTTCAGAGCACCCGGACCAGCGACTGCGCTGGCTCCCCTCGCCCTGCGTGAATGGAGTGTTTCAGTGACCTGGTCCTGATCGCCGCCACACACAGCCCGGGGGCACAGCCAATCATCCTCGGTGTCACAGGTCTCCGAATCCCGAGGAGCCCACCCGCACCTCACATGGGTCATGAGCCCAAGCTCCAGTGAGATGGGCAGCCTGGGGCAGGAGGACACATTTGCAGGGAGGAGAGTGTGATGGAGGGGGGAGTGATGAGAGGGAAGGCTTGGCTGGATTAGGTTATCAGTCAGCAAATATTTACTCAAAGTAGATTATAGGCTTCAACGCAAAAGCTAGAACCATAAAACTTCTGCAAGACAAAAACAGAAAAACATCCTTGTGATGTTGGGCGAAGATCTCTTAGATACGACAGCAAAAATACAACCCACGAGAGAAATCCTGACACACAAGACGCCATCAACATTACGAACGCCCGCTCTCTGAAGGACTCTGTGAAGAGGATGGAAAGACCAGCCAGATGGGGGAAAATGTCTGCAAATACCATGTTGTCTGACAAAGAACCTGAACTCAGAACACACAAAGAACACTCCAACCTTAGTAACAGAACACAACCCAATTAAACATGGGCACAAGAGCTGAAGAAATCCTGACGGCAAATGAGCACATGAAACACTGCTCAGCACCGGTAAGTCATCAAAGAACTGCAAATGAAAACCCCAGTGAGACCACAAGGAACCTCCTGGAATGGCTCAAACCCAACCCAACCCCAACACCCAGTGCTGGGCAAGCCCAGGAGCGCCTGGGTCCTGCACGCAGCTGGCGGAAGGAAGCAAAGGTGCAGCCATGGAGGCACCGGTCTGCAGCTTCTCAGAAAGTTCACCCACACCCACCACATGACCCAGGAATCCCCTCCCGGGCACTTAGCCAATCAAAAGGAAAACTTACCTTCACACAGAACCCTGGGCGTCGCAACTGCCAGAAACTGGAACAACACGGTGTCTGTCCCCAATGGGGCAACGGAGAAGAGACTGGCCCAGCCACACCACGGAACACCACCAGTGACAAAGAGGAACGAACGGCTGGTGGATGCGCGCAAACACAAAGCCAAATCTAAATGCATTACGCCAGCAAAAGAAGCCAAACGCACGCCGTCATGCACAACTCCAGAGAAGACTGCTCTGAGGGCGCTACTGGAGTAGGTGCTACTGAGCAGGCCAGGCTTGCTGGGGTGCGGGCGGGGGGGGAGGTGGTGTGCAACTGAGAGAGGACAAGTTCACTATCTTGATTACAGAAAACTCATCAAAACTCATGGAAATGTACAGTAACTAAAATGAGTGTATTTTAATGTATATAAATTATAGCCAATAAGGTCAATTTTTTTAAAAAACACAAAAACCCTTGCTGCTTGCTACCCTCTCCAGCCCCCCCCCCCTTTCTCCCTTGAGACTTCAGCAGAAGCCTCTCTTCTGTCTGCAAACCCTCCTCGCCCCCAGGCGAGGAAGTTGTGCCAACTTCACCAGAGCTCCAGCCAAGGGGGCCGGCCACACCCCATCCCAGAGCCTGCCGCCCGCCTCAGCACTGTCCTGTGGACACCCAGCCTCCTGTCTGCACTGTGGGCCTCTCCCTGCAGTGCACGACCTCCGGTCTCAGCCAGCTGCCTTGAAAGCATCCTCCACTTACTGGGTCTGACACTGAAGCGTCCATTTCCTTCCCACCTGTTCTTTCTGTAATTTTCCCCATTTTGGTCAATTCTCTGTCCATCTTCCAGGTGCTGGCGACAGAGGCCTTTGGGGTCATGCCGACCCTCCTTCCTTCACACTCGGGAGCAATCTACAAGTCTGCTGGTGCTCCCTGAGGAGCTCCCAGTACAGGGACTTCCACCCTGGCCCCACGACCTTCCCAACACAACAGCCAGAGGGAGCCGTGGAAACTCAGCTCCTGACAGGGCGCTTCCCTTCTCACTCAGAGTCTGATCCCCAGTCCTGCAGGTCGGTCCACAAGGCCCAGCCCTCCCCTACAGCCCATGTGGCCCCTCACCCCCGGCCCCTGCAGGGCTCTGCTAAGATCCACCTCCCTGGCCACCTCCACTCCCCAGCCCTCACCCAGGGGGTGTGCCACCTGCTCACGGGCTGCCTGTGTTGTTTCTGCACTGTCCACTGTCTGGCCCTCAACCCCACCCTGTGGGCTCCCGGGGGCAGGGCTCTGGGTCTGTCTGTTCATGGCTTTGTCCCCGCCTAGAACAGCTCCCGGCACAAGCTGGGGATTCGCACTTGAGTTCTACTTTTCATGAGTGAGAATTAACCTGGCCTGGTCAGTGCCCATCCTTGAATCTCGCTATCCATAATGTCCCTGTCCCTTCTTTCCATCAGGGCTTCAGACTCTGCCTTTGGCTTCCACCCCGCCCGCACCAGAGGGCCAGCCGTCGTCACGAGCGGAGGAACTCCAGCACAGCCTGCCCTCCACCCCTGCTCTCCCATTTCCTACTCCAGCTTCCCTGACTGTGTCTCTGCTTTCTGCCTCTGGATGGGTGGAACTATAGCTTGCTAACTTTTAACCAGCGGTGACTGGTCCTCTTAGGCCAAGACTTCTCTACTCCTGGGCCCTTCGCTTTGATCTACTTCTTAGGTGGTCGGAGCAGACCTGGAATAACGTGGAAGGCTCCTGGGTGACACACATTATTAGCCTTCAGATAGCTTCAAATACCCTTCTGTTGTCTTCACATATATTTGCTAGAGCAATTCTTAAAAACTGCTTAGAAACTGCTCTGTTATTTTCTGGAAAATGTGTAGCAGAAAGGTCTGAAACCAGCTTTTGATTTTCCCTGGCTTCCAAGTAACTGTTTTTATTTTGTTCCTGCCTAGCTGCTAAGATGTTTCTATCTTACTAATTTAAAGTTATCATCAATGCCCATCCACGATCTTTGCTTGGAGCGAGGCTGACCCCCGGAATTGGCACATGGAGGCTCCTCTTCACCCAGACATCGCCCTGACCCCGCGCGGAGCTCTGCACATGGTGCTGCCCTCACTCCTTGGAGGCCCGACTTCCTGCTACACCCGCCTCCCCTGCCTCCCCTTTGCACCCCTCCCGCTCCCTCCACCCCGTGGACGCAACGCTCAGGCTGTCCCTCACACTTCTCAGGGCTTTTCTGTGACGTCAGCTCGACTCCACTGCAGTCACAGTGTTGAAGGAACGTGGCTCACTCCCACACTCACCGAGCACGACTACACGCGAGGTGCTGCTTGAGGGTCTGCCGGGGACAGACAGACAGACGCTGGTCTCTGTCTCCCACAGCCACATGCAGCAGACACGTCACACACAGCAGGTCAGAAGGCACTGCCAACCGCAGGGAGTAACCAGGTGAGGGGAACAGAGCACGCTGGAGCATGGGATGCCCCTGAGGAGGTGAGCGAGCAAGCGAGGACACCTGGGAAAGTGCCGGGGAAGGAGGAAGATCAAGCAGATGGAGAAGGGCAGCCTGGGGAGGGCGAGGCAGGGAGATAACCGCCTGCAGCGCTCTGGCCACCTGAGGAGCTAGTGGCGGGGCAGGGTGGGCAGACTGCTCCAGCCTGGACCACTGAGGGTGAAGCCGTGAGCCTGCGTGTGGGGCTGCACAGGGTGTGAGACAGAGCCGTCGGGAAGAAGCCCAAGGGTGCAGGCCCGAGCTTCTAGAAGGATGGCACTGCTGCCTACTGAGACTGGGGAGAAGCAGGTGTTGGGGGCTGGAGGCAGGAGTTCCCTCGGGGCACGACATGTCTGAAATGCCTGCTGGACATCCAGGGAAGGCCCCGAGGGCCGTGGTGTGTACGCACGAGTCTGCAGCTGGGCTGAGCGGCTGGTTTGGGCCAGGAGCTGCTCACCCTGGGGCCTGTGGGCAAGGAGGGGAGAGGCTGGCTGGGGCCTGGGCCCCACGGCACTCCACCAGGCCCAGGAGACAGCCAGGGCAGATGGCCAGGGAAGGCAGACAGAGAAGCATGGCGCAGCCTCTGTAAGCCAAGGGAGAAGGGTTATCACAAAGGAAGTGGAAAACCTAAGAGGTCAAGCAGGTGAACCGGGAATGCTCCTGACACCGGGCTGGCACCACGGACAGCCTGGGTGAGCTTGCGGAGGGTACAGACAGGCTGCTGCATGGGCTCATGAGAGAACGGAGAGGGGCCACAGTGCCCCGCAGTCACCGCGCCCGCAGAAGGGGGGAGCACTCCGCTACGGTGGGGCCTGAATTCACTGTGACAGGAGGTCACTGAGCAGAGGAAGCAGCGCGTTATCTTAGAAACACATGCACAAGTGAGTCTGTGAGGTGCACGATGATGAAAAGGGGGCTTGACTGTGAACCCCAACAGCACTGAAGCGTGTTGCTGAGTGTTGGGGATGCTGTGAAGTGCGCACCTTAAAACTCCATCTCATTCCTGAGGTCCAACAGTGACTCTTCTGTCTGTGCATTTCTACAAAATTCACAATGATTTTCCTTTCCTCATTGTTTCACAGAAAGTTCTGATGACAAAACCATTTCACATCCTGACAGTGTATCTGGTTTTCACTCAGCAACCATGGGCATGTCCGGGCCATCAGTGCTGGGCTGCAGGACAGCTGGAGGGGCTCCTGGGACGCGGGCTCCGGAGCTGGATGGGAGAGCTGCAGGCCCCCAGCCCTCTCTGCCCACCCCGTTGTATGGAGCAGCAGCACCTCCACCTTCCCCAGTTGCCCTGAGGGTCAGGAGAGACCGTCCACAGGAAGGAACAGTGCCCGGAACAGAACAGACACGAATAAACGCTCATTACTAATTACTGTAATTATTTTTGGCAGAACCCTGGGTAATCATCAATATTTTTCATATATATATGTCTCAGGAAAAATTGGAATCAGAAAAAGTTCCACCTGTCCACCCAGAAAATGTGGCATAAAAGCCGAAATCATGTAACAACCCCATTCGCTCCTGCCCCTTCTCTCCACTACCACGTGGCCGCAGCCCTGACACCCACCTGCACCACGGTGATGCTGAGGCGGCCCACTGTGCCCACCGCTCCTCCAAACTGTAGCTGCTGGGCTGCCTGTGCGTCCAGCTGGATCTGCTGCTGCTGCTGCGTGGGCAGGATGCGGAGGAAGTCCTGCGGGAGCTCGCCGATGTACACCTGGGACAGGGAAGAGAAGACACCGTAGTATCAGTGAGGCTGGGGCCAGGGCAGAACAGGGCCAAACCCTGGGCATTTCCAGGACCCAGAGGCCTGGGCTGTGCTGCACCTCAGCTGCACCTCACCTATAAACGAGGGCCCACAGGGGTCAGGGTTTCCAGCCTGAGGGCCTGGAACCACCACCTTGCCCCTCAGCAGCAGGACTGCGTCCTCTGGCACAGGAGCCCTTCTCACTCAGCAGACACACACGCAGATCAGGATCTGTGCAGGCTTGCTACATTTCTGCCACTAAAACCAGGTTCTCGTGCTCTAAACGGGATTGTTGGATGGTTTCTCAGGTTGTTTTTGGGTTTCACAAGCGCTCTGTCCACATGTCCATGATCCGTTTTCCCTGGTGCCATTACAACTACAGGCAGGGCCCATGAGCTGCAGGGCACCGGTTCAAACAATGAATGAGATGAAACCCGAACCGTGGGTCTGAAGCTCTCTAGAAAACCCTGTCAAGTACTTCCATCTGAAACAGTGCAAACTCAAAACTGCCCCAAATAAGTGAACAGATTAACAAGAAGCCCCAAAGACCTCACCCTTCTGCTTCTCAGGAACCCTCTGTCCACTAGGCTGCTGGGCCTCGGAGAGAAGGGAGGAGCCTGAGGGGGCCCGGCCCCCAGGGCTGGAGGGGACACGCTCCTGAGGGACACGCAGGAGTGTGAGTTACGGGAGGGGCCTGAAGGGCTCCGGGAGGACAAAGTCTTCCAGGAAAAACTGCAGGAGACTATAGCAAGAGTCAGCCGAGACTCATGGAAGCGGCCCCAGAAAAGCCTGACACGGCAGAGATGCGCAAGGCAGGGCCGGCCTGGGGCCCAACGTGGGAGGGCCGAGGACCCAGCCGAGCTCAACGAGCAGGACACCCGCCACTCTGCTCCTTCCTGGGCACGGTGGGTAGAGGGTCTGGAGAGGTCACAGTGTAAGATGCCCACATCAACGAACGGCTGATGAAGCCTGCCGGGCTGACAAATCCCCTCGGAAGGGGGGCCTGCCTGCTGGAGCCACAGCCACAGGGGAACAGGGGCTGCCTGCGGTGGTCCCAGGTTCTCCTCAGCCACCCCAAGAGGACATCACAAAGGGGCTCCCGGCTGAGGGCCTGGAAGGGCTGCTTGTTCTCAGGAAGTGCTGAATGCTAAACCCCAGTGTGTCACGGCGAGAGTTCTGGCAGACTGCATCCACTGACAGCAGCCACCAGGGACCACCTCAGATGTCCAGGAGGCTCCTAACACCCTAAGGCCTCTACTGCCAAGACCAGATGCCTGCTGGGCTTCCGGACTTCCCGAAGACGCGGCATCTGGCAGAGTTCCAGAAGGTCGTATCTGCTGAGCTCACGAGCACCCTGGGAAAGCATTTCTCTCCAAGTGCTCTCGTCGCCTTGCATTTCAAACACGCCTGGAAAGGTCTAGGTCCCCACTCGGCTCCCATTTCAGGCTTGGGGAAGTCACAAACCAGGCAGGGCTCCGTAACCAGTGGAGGCGAGCACAAGGGGAAGTCGCAGGCTCCAGAGCCAGCTGAGTGTTGAGAACTCAGGCCCCCGTTCCGGGGCTCCCCCAGCCACGCCCACCTCTGACGGGAGCGCCCATCAGCTTGGTGCTCCAACCGCTCTTCTCTAAGGAGCAAGAATGAGCTTCTCCTGGCTGTACGCCACACGCGACCCAACAGACCAGGACGTCTCAGAACGACCTCTGCACCATCAGAGGAGACGCTCCTGGCGAAGACAACACCTGACCCTTCTCTGCACCTGGAGCACAGGGCCCAGGCGGTGCGGCCCCAAGCACTCACTACAGACCGACTGGAAGGCAGCAGGTGCGGGAGGCCTGAAGTTGCCAGAAGAGCACGGCGCCCTCCCAGGGGGCGTCGAAGGCCGCGTGTCCCCTGGTGTGCTGCACAGGTTACCAGCAGGCCCCAGGCCACCCTGAGGAAGTTACCCCTTGGTGACACCCTGGGGCCGCACCCCCTGTGGAGGGTTCAGGCCCGGGGGCACTGCTGCTGTGAGGCAGACACCAGGCGCCAGTTTCTGTTGGCGACCCTGGAGTGAAGAAGCCCAGGGCCCTTCACCCACCTCCCCAGCACACTCACACCCAGAACTCTCGCCAGCCCACGAGACCCAGATGTGCCCCTGCCAACCACACACAGTCCCCACAGCCTGCGCCGCGGTCTTCTTTGCTGGCTCTGTCTGCTCGCCATAAACACGTTATCTTGCAGAAACAGACTCACGTTAACCAAGCTTAAGGGATTACTGCATACAGACCCAATTCCCACTTACTTATTCTGAGAAATACTGCCCACCATCGGCCACACACTACAGCTCTGAGGACCCAGCAGGGACAGGCGTGCTCTTGGTGGATACACTGCGGACGGCCAGTCACATGCGCAGTGACAGCAGTCAGTCAGGAGAGGCCTCTCTCTTTCATCGTTTCCATTTCCTGTCTGTCCCCATCACGAGAACGGGACTGGCAGGTATTACATTTCTTTTTATTGTACTCTTCCAGGTTCTCATCGAAGAGAATGCGACTGCTTTTTACTGGGGGAAATAAAATGATACCAAAAGGCCAAATGACCTAGTTTAACTATAGTTAGTTAAACAACTATAGACTAGTTAAACAAAGGTTTAACTATAAAAGTATAAATATGAAATGAGGATGTACCAACATGAATGAACAGTGCAAACAGAATATGAGAAGGAAAAACTAGCGGAGACACCTCGCCAACCACCTCAGCCAGGGGGTCCAGGCTGACACCAGCAATGACAGGTCAGGGAGACGGCAGGTTCCCGAAATGATGCGATGAGAAGGACCCTCCCCTCTGTGGTCTCCTTCCAACTGAGGGACAGACCACAAAATGCCTGACCAGTAGTCTTCAACCGTCAACGTCCCGAAAACAAGGGAAGTCTGAGAGATGGTCCCAGAGCGCAGGCAAATAAGGAGACGTGATGGCTAACTGCCACCTGGGCCTGGGTGGAGTCCTCGGACAGTGACGGGAAACTGGCTGGGACTCCGAATGAAATCCGGGGTTCCCAGTGGGGTACCAGAGTCAGGTTCTCAGTGTGACAAATGTGCCACGTGACACGTGATGTTACCAATGGGGACAGCAGGTGAGGGGACACAGGAGCTCTTTGTACTGCCTTTGCAACTCTTCCATAAATCTAAAATTATTCCAAAATTTAAGTTTATTAGAAAAATTTCAATTTAACCTAGAAAAAAAAAAAAGAAAGGAAAAGGAAACAGTGCACAGTCCTTAAGAAAGAATAAGCTCCTGATTATGCAACCGACACACCGGCCACTGGGGAAGACGAGGTGGCCGCTGCCGCAGTCCTGATGATGCTCACTCAGACGGAATCCGGCCACACGAGGAGACTCCGACACCTCAAAGAGCCACTACTGTTGACAAAAGCAGTCAACATCTGTAATGTGTCGTTACAGATAAGCGGTAACGTGAATCTGATCACTTCAGCAACCAGACTGGAAAACGTCATCAATAAACATGTATTCTTAACATATATTAAAAATTCAGTGCTGGTCCTAAAATTTATTTTTGCCATATTATGATGGAGGAAATGTTTGAAAGGTCACATCAAAACATATGCTTGATCCTGACTCAAAGACTTGGGATCAAAGAGAACAATTAATCTTGATAACAGATAAATAATGGATCCTATTTCCTAATATAATTTGGCTTACATTCACAAGATGACTACAGTGAGTCCAATACCGACAAGTAATTTCAAGTTCTTGCGTTAAGACCCACGAGTCCACTCCCAGGAGTAATCCTACGGAGGTGCTCACGCAGGATGCCAGCTGCCTCATCGCTGACACAGCCCAGGCACAAGGAGAAGGGAGCACCCACCATGGGGCCAAGGGACGGCCCTGACGGAGACCCACACAGCCCTGAGGAGGGAGCCCTCCCCATGCCTGCTCACACGAGATCTTGTGGCACCTGGAGGAGGGGCACAGCACCACCACTGTGCAAAAACCACAAAGGAGGTTTTATGTCTAAAAATAGTGTTTAAGAAATTAATGTTCAGGAGTGGAACTCAGTGGGCGAGAGAGAAGGGGAGGAGGCAGGGGAGATTTAGTTTTAATTTATTTATACTTTTATGTCTTGCTAGTAATTTTTAAAAGCAATTTTTTTAACCATGTACATGAATTACTTTTATAATAAAATTAGAACTTTCACTCCATGAACTCTCTGGGTTTTAACTTCTCTTAAAACTAAAAGCTACTTTCATAAATATTAGTCTTTTTAAAACATATTTGCAAAAACATAATTTCATATTTCTTAAAATCACTGCTTTTTCTACCCCATGGACACGCTCAGAGAGCCACAGGGCGTATTACTGACACCCACCCCCTCCCAGGGCTCTGGTCCACTGCAGGACACTTGTGCACAAAATAAAAGATTTGCAAAATCTGGTTTTATTTAGAATAAACACCCTTCCAAGTCCAAATGTTAATTTTGGCACAGAAACAGAGTTTAATTATTCTTTTTATCACGTAAGGTGTATGCTCACTACCTAAGCTAACTTTTCAGGTGCACAGAATCAAACAAGCACCTGTGAATACCTCGTAGTGACAAGCCTGACGGGAGGAACCAAGGCTGCACTTCCCAGCGATGAGGCCTGCCCACAGGGCCACAGAGGCAGGAGGCGCAGCCCAGACCAGCCTCTCCCGCCACGAGCCCCCAAGGTCACCGAGTAGCAGCAGCCACATACCAGGCCTGGGGCGGTGGATCTCCCGGCCTGCCTTGCATGACTGTCCTTTCCCTTAAGGAGCATTTTTAAATTACTTTTCCTCATTGCTGCCCCCATGAAACCATAGGACCGCAGACACACTGTGTGTCTGCCCATGGCCTGGGGTCTACTTGTGCCCTCTACAGAAAGAGAGCAAGGGGGCCGGCCCGGTGGCACAAGCGGTTAAGTGCACATGCTCCACTGCAGCAGCCTGGGGTTCGCCGGTTTGGATCCCGGGCGTGCACCGACGCACTGCTTCTCGAGCCATGCTGTGGTGGTGTCACGTACAAAGTAGAGGAAGATGGGCACAGATGTTAGCTCAAGGCCAATCTTCCTCAGCAAAAAAAAAAAAAAAAAAGAGGAGGACTGTCATCAGATGTTAGCTCAGGGCTGATCTTCCTCACCGAAAAAAAAAAAAAAGAGCAAGTATGAGGCTTTCTCTTCATCTAACGCACAGCGAGGAACAAGTAAATAAAACTTTTAAGTTAAAAGTTAGATTAAAAACTGAAAAGCTATTAACTATTAACTTTATAACTGCATTTGCTGAGCAACTTTTAATGTAATTTTTACTTACAAATTATAATGTATCAAATTACACAATTAGCAATCTATAAAATAGCAATGTAATCAAAATTTAAAAACTCATTCAACTGTCACTTTCCCAGCAAAAGCAAAGCATCTGAAAAAATTAACCTCTTAAAAAACATTTTTGGTAAACTTAACTTTTAACTTTGCTCGATATGAGGAAAAACTTTCTAACTAACTGTTACATGTTCTTTTTAGCACTTTGACATAGTTAGTCATGAGCTGAGTAACTTTTGTGGAATCAAAAAATAAAACGTGAATGGTTGTTATTCGATTCTCCAGGCACGAGTTGCACACACAAGCACTGAGGATCAAACACGAACACGGT